TCTCGTCACAACCTTAGTATGTGGCTGAACCTTAGCCAAAACTGTGCATGTATGAGGGTTGTCGATTCAAATCCCAACCACAGACCACTACCTACATAGTGTTTGCATGTGCTCCCTGTGCCTGCATGGGTTTCCCCTGGGTACTCCAGATTCCTCACACACTCCACAAGACATGCTGGTAGATTAATTGGGGCTCCTGTCTAAATTGGCCCTAGTATGTGTATTTATGAATGTGACTTAGAGATCTTAGATTGTACGCTCCTTGAGGGCAGGGACGAATGTGAATGTATAATACAAATGTTGTGTAAATTGATGTTGCTATATAAGTACCTGAAATAAATTATTATTTTTTATTATTATTATTATACAGGATTTATATAGCGCCAACAGTTTGCTCAGCGCTTTACAATAAAACAGGAGACAATACAGCAACAATACAGTTCAGTACAAGAGGGAAAGGAGGGCCCTGCTCCTTGGAGCTTACAATCTAGGAGGGAGGGGCTAGTGGTACAAAAGGTAGTAACTGTGGGGGATGGACTGGTAGGAAGAGTAGAAGATTCAGTTGTTAGCTGAAGGCAGGATAGGCTTCCCTGAAGAGAGAGGTTTTCAGAGATCGCCTAAAAGTGAGCAGAGTAGGCGATAGTCTGATAAATTGGGGTAGAGCGTTCCAGAGGATGGGGGAAGCTCTGGAAAAGTCCTGGAGACGAGCATGGGAGGAGGAGACAAGGGAGCTAGATGTATGGACATCTTTAGACTATCAGCAGGTTGCTTGTCAGTATATCTGCATGCAACACACCTGAATGGCTCCTAGCCTGGAGTTCTGTTTTAACAGCTTTGTCTTTAGAAAATCTAGATATGTTTTTGTTACTGCCCTATAGCAGAAATACTGTTACAGTGCGGCACCTGTGTGCAAAATTATGTATATATGTGATTTTGCATTTCCGGGTAGGGGGCGCGCGCGCGTGCCCTACCCGTGCTGTCATTCGCGGCCGCGGATGTCAATCACCGGGTCCCGGCCGCTAAGTAGCCACTGGCGCCTGGTGATTATTGACAATCACCGACGGGGAGGAAGACTGTTTTGTTTACAAACAGTCTTCCTCCCTGTCAGCTCGGGCACACTGTAGGTAGCCATCCCGATCAGTGTGCTTTACAGTAAAGCACACACCCCCTGCCCCTAGTAAAACACTCCCAGCACATAGTTAACCCTTTGATTGCCCCTAACATTAACCCCTTCCTGCCCAGTGCCGTTAGTACAGTGTCAGTGCTTTTTTTTTTAGCACTGATCACTGTATTGATGTCACTGGGGATGTCAGTGACACCAAGTTAGTTCTCCCACAGTGTCAGAATGTCCGCTGCAGTCCCGCTAAAAGTCACTGATCGCCGCTGTTACTAGTGAAAAAAAATCCCATTATACATACCGCCATTTGTAAACGCTTTAACTTTTACGTAAACCAATTAATTTACACGTATATTGGGATTTTTTTTTTTTTTTAGCAAAGACATGTCGCCGACCACATTTTTGGCCTAAATTCGATTTTTTTAATTTTTTTAAAAGTCCAAAATATTGTTTTTTTTTTCTCAAAATTGTTGGTCTCTTTTTGCTTATAGCGCAAAAAATAAAATCTGCACAGGCGATCAAATCCCACCGAAAGAAAGCTCTATTTGTGGGGAAAAAAGGACGCAAATTTAATTTGGATGCAGAGTTGCATGACGGCGCAACTGTCAGTTAAAGTAACGCAGCGCCGCAACGCAAAAAATGGCCTGGTCAGGAAGGGGAGTAAATCCTCTTGAGGGCAAGTGGTTAACTTGGAGTTGCCCAGTGGTTGGAAGTTGACCCATGAAAGGGTTCAGTTTTATAATGAACAGGTTTGTGTTTCTTTCCCATGATCTTTGATGGTTTCATCCCACCCTGCTTTCCACATGGCTAGCGTTGTACTGGTGACCCTGACAGGCTAGTAACACAGCAGCATGTGTGTCAAAGTGTACTGACCCTTACAAAAGACCTGAAATTATATATTAACACATGAGTGCTCTTTGCTGTTGACTCATTTGTCTCTGGTTCCTCTGCAGAGAACCAGGTGGTGTACCTAATCTTCTCATACTACTTATTAATTATTTATTCCCATGCTAGATTTGCCTTTATCGCATGCATGCTTATATATATATATATATATATATTTATATTTATTTATTTATTTATTTTTTTAACTACCAGTATATCTGCTTTCATGGAGAAAGTCATGTGTGTTTATAGGAAACCCATGCTAAGGTATATCTAAAGGATTCCATTGATGGCTTATCCTACTGAAAATGGTAATTGCCTGATTGTTATGGTGGTTCTCTGGTTTCAATACTTCTGAATCACTGACCCAACAAAAGTATGTAGATCAGGAGTTCTTATTTCACTGGCTGCGTGCTTGTTTCAGATATAAAATACGGAAAGCACTGTAGGCAGCACAGCCGGGAGTCTGGTATTTTTAGAAGGAGCACCTCAAAGACAGCCTTTATATTTCTGTCTGCACAAGTTACCTTCAAAAAGACCCTATCGCCAGACCATTCTTCTCAACAAAAGTATTCCTATAAGATTATATGTTCATATGGGCAGCACAGTGGCTAAATGGTTAGCACTTCCACCTGGCAGTACTAGGGTTGTGGGTTCGAATACCAACCACGGCACCACCTGCCTGGAGTTTGCATGTTCTCCCTGTGCCTGCGTGGGTTTCCTCTGGGTACTCTGGTTTACACCCACACTCCAAAGACATGCTGGTAGGTTAATTGGCTCCTATCTAAAGTGGCCCTAGTATGTGTATGAATGTAAGTTAGGGTCCTTAGATTGTACACCCCTTGAGGGTTAGGGACTGATGTGAATGTACAATATATGTAAAGTGCTGCATAAATTGACGGTGCTATATAAGTACCTGAAATAAATAAATATTAGGTATTTCATGTATGTTACCTGTAAAAGCCTCTCCCGTGTAGAAATTCAAAAGCCCTATGACTGCTGCTGGGCATTGCCATTTTGGATGTAATATCATTACCAGTAAAGTCAGAGCTGTCATTCAAGCATTGCCCTATGCTCCTCCCTCAGAAACTACATAAAAGGTTGTGAAGGGAGGGGTGGAGGAGCTGGGACAGCATAGACAATAATTGGACACTAACAGAAGATGACAGGGCTGTGCTAAAGAAATAACTAGTCCTATTCTTTAGCAAATTCAAAGGCACATTGCAAGTAAATAAACAATTTTAGGCAAAAGCACAGAAAAATCAAGTATTTTACATGCTTAGCTAACATTTTTAAGTTGGTGACAGGGCTTTTTAGGATGTCAACCAACCAGCTACTAAATGTATAATATAGGTGTCACTAGAAAGCTGTGTGTAAGCATGGTGCCCATAACAAACTTTGTGTTTTGTATTATGTTACTGTAGCAAGTAAAAGGTGATATAGTTGTGGTCTGGGATCAAGCTCAGGTAACCCATATAAAGCAACTGTTCTTTGTGAAAAGGTTAGTTTAGGAGACACTAGACACGAGGACCCTTAGCTGGCGTGGTGAAACCATTCCTCCTCTTTTCTTTTGTCTTTTACTATTTTTCCTTGCAGCTCTATCTCTCCCTTACTGTCATTTTTAGGGAACATTGATGTCAGTCACTAATAAAGCCAGCCAAACATTAAACGAAATTCAGCCAGTTCCTGCTGAACTGCCCGAATTTCGATCCATGTATGGACAGAGTGGTTTTGCAACTGTACAACCATCCTGTTGGAATATTTCCGCTCAATCAGGGTTGCTGGCTATAGCTGGCAGTGCTGATCAATGCATTCTGATGTGACCTGCTGGTTGCACGAAAAAAAAAACAAAAACAAATCATCCATGGGCTGCATTGCTCTCGCTCAACCTAACTTCTGTTCTAACATATTTCTATGATAAGGTAGGCTAATGCAGGCCAAAGATGGGGAGAAAACCGGCCGATTTTTCTTTAAAAAAACGAAAAAAATCGGTCGTTCAAGCTGCCGATGTTACCAGGAATGGTAAAAAAAATTGTCCGATTTTCATCCCGTCTACAGCCGGCAAAAAGTGTCCCTGCAGAGAGCTCCGCTATTTCTTTGACAGTGCTTTGACATTTATAGTGGCTGCAACAATGTATCTATTTGTATCCATTTCGGATACAGTTTTATTCGGAAACAAATAGATACATTGTTGCAACCGCTATAAATGTCAAAGCATTGTCAAAGAAATAGTGGAGCTCTCTGCAGGGACACTTTTGTCCCGGACTGGAATTCTTCTTTTTCTTCATCCTCTTCTTCTTCTCCCTCTTCTCCTTGCTTTTTTCCAGCCAATATCCTGCTATCTTCTTCATCCTCTTCTTCTTCTTCATCTTCCTCTTCATCCTCTTCTTCCTCTTCTTCATCCTCTTCTTCTTCTTCCTGGTGGGGTGATCCTGAGATCTGCGACTGCTTCCTCTTCTTCATCCTCCTTCTTCTTCTTCATATCCTCTTCTTCTTCATCATCCTCTTCTGAACCTCTTCCTCTTCCTCTTCTTCTTCCTCATCCTCTTCTTCTTCTCTTCTTCTTCCTCTTCTTCTTCATCCTCTTCTTCTTCATCATCCTCTTTCTTCTTCATCATCTTCTCTCCTTCTTCTTCTTCATCCTCTTCTTCCTTTCTTCTTTCTTCTTTTTTCTTCTTCTTTTTGTCTTCCTCTTGCAGCTCACTGCTCATGCGCAGATTTTTAAAAAAAAAAAAGATTGGCCGATTTGCCCATAATTGCTGCTGCAAAAATCGGCCGATCGGCAAAATCGGCCGATCTTTTTCCAACTTTACCGATAAAAAAAGTCTCCCAAAATACCGAAAAAACGGCCAAACAATTAACCCACTAACGATCCGAAAATCAACCGATTTTCGACCCATCTATGGCCTGCATTAAAGAGACTCTGGTCGTTATTTACTAAACTTGGGGAGTGCAAATCTGATGCAGCTCTGCATAGAAAGCAATCGACTTCCAGGTTTTAGGCTAGGTTCACATATGTGCGGGTGGTGCAGCTGCGAATCCGCATGAAAATCCATGCAACTGCACCACCCGCAGAGAGGAATGCGGAGCCGCGGCGGGTGCCATTAGTTCTAATGGCACGCCGCCCGCACTGGAAAACGCAACCATACTGAGAACTGAGGTTCCTGTGCGGGCTGAGGTTTCCAAAGAAGTGCAAGGACTTCTTCCCTCGGTGTCACGGGGCACGGGATTCCATTCAAATGAATGGGCTCTCGTGTCCATGCAAAACACAGCCCGTACGGCCGCATAGATATAAACCAGGGCTAATGGTTATGCTTAATTGAACTAGCTGAAGTTAGAAGCTTCTTGGCTACCATGCGCAGCATTAAACAGATGAGTTTAATTACAAATTACGGGAGCATCACAAACGTATTATTTCTTAAAATTTTGAGAAGGTGTCAATAATTTTGTCCAGTCCATTTTTGGGATTTTGTGTGGAATGTATCAGATTTGGCTTGTTGTTTCTCCACTTTTTTGTGTCATTACCAATACAAGCAAAATAAACCGGAGAATGCCCAAACATTTGTAATTGCAACAAATTTCTGGGCAAAGTGGTGCATTATCTGACAGAAGTGCAGGGGTGCCAATATTTTTGGCCATGACTGTAAATAGCGCTTTAAATTAACGCAGCGTTTTACATATTTATTATACATTCACATCGGTCCCTGCCATCAATGAGTTTACAATCTAAGGTCCCTAACTCACATTCGTACATACACATACTGGGGTCAATGTAGACAGAAACCAATTAACCTTACCACCATGTCTTTGGGTGTGGGAGGGAACCGGAGTACCCGGAAGTAACCCATGCAGGCATAGGGAGAACACTCCTTGCAGGTAGAGCCGTGGTTGGGATTCGAACCAACGACCTTAGTACTGCCAGTCTCTGTACATACCATGGCTCCTTTAGAGCAGCTGCAAAATATTTGGTGCTTAAGGGTATGGGGAATATCTGACCTTCTCCTGAGGCCTACATGACAATCTCCAGGCCCAAACACAAGGAGGAAAAGGACACGTCACCACTCCTGTGTAAACTCAGACACCATCTTGCTTGGAGCCCACAGGAGGTTGGGAGAGTGGAAAACTGGAGCAGTGGGGAAGGTAAAATATAGGTGGCTAAAGGGGGTGAGCTATAAAGAGATTCTGGATTGCCCTGAATGAACAAAGCGACTTTTCAAAGAATAATGACTAGTAACAGCTAATGTAACTTGGCATTTTCATAAGCTTTAGATTCCAGTTCTTTCAAACAATGCAGATACTGGCAGCCATAAGAAGGCAGCAAGTGGAGCAGCCAGATGCACAAAATGAATGCCAGGATTAAAATCAGACACTTTCTGTTGAGACACGTGTAGACATTAAACCTGGATCGACAAGATGGCTCATAAAAGGACACCAGAAGGACATCATGTGGAGCCACATGCTGCGGCTGAAGCAAGGGGAGCAGAACAACAAGATGTTCAAATCCCGGAAAAGAAAAACTACTTCACAAACATGTTATTAGAGAAAGTCACACAGCAACAAACAGATGTTAGTAATCGCATACCTCGTGTCTGTGATGTGGTTGCTTAACTGATCCCCTCGCACCCCCCCTTTTGCCCTAGTGGGTATCATTCCAGGGAAAAGGATTGAAAAATACACATTGGACACAGTAAGGCTTTGGACATCTAATAGGAAAATTTACAACACTTTTATTTGCCAACATTCCTGAATAGTAATTTGGAACAAAAATGGCTTCCAGTTCTTTAGAGCTAGCATTTATTGCTCAATTATATTTTATGCTGCAGATATCACACCTGATTGACCCGAGCCACCCAGGATCAGTCACTCGACGACCTGTCTAAACAGTAGCAGGAGGGTAGGTTTTTCACAGACAGTCAGGCACAGATGCATTTATTTTAACACAGCCCCTCCTCCCTTGTAGTATACCTACAGACAACATGACCTTTGTCTAAATACCTTACCTTGAAAATACAGTGTGCCCTTGCCAGTTATACATCATGCACAACAATGCTAGATCTGGCTTTCCAGTTGTGGCTACTGATATTGCATCTGTACCTACTGAACTTCCTTTTTCCCCATGAATCCTGCATCTTCTACATCTTCATGGCCTCTGTTGCTGTAGAGCAGCCATGGCCTACCTCCTCCTGGGCCTCCAGCTAGCTGCAGATCCTGTAACCTGCCACAGTTCCTCCCAGTTCACTTAGTGCCACTAGCCTCAGACTTCAGTGCTCCTCAACCTTGCCCCCTTAAAGCCCTCAGCCCCCACAGTGCTACCAAACCTCCCACAGTGCCCCCTGGATTGCTGCATAACTTCTAGCTCCTCATAGCCCACAACCTCCAGCAGTGTCCCACAGTGCATCCCAGCACCGGTGGTGCCCTCCATTCTTTAGCAATGCCCCTGCAAGCATCCCAAACTTCTTAGAAATGCCAGAGTCCCCTCCAAAGGCTCCACTCCCCATAGTTGTCCCTAGCTCCCTCCAGAAACCTCATTCCTTACAGGGCCACCAAATCTGTTGCAGAATTACCCAACCCCCATCCTCCCACAGTGACACCCAGACTAATCCAGAACCTTCCAGCATTTTGATACATATTTGGTATTCCCAAACTTTAATTGTGTGAGTATAAGCTTTTTTTTTTTTTCTGGGGCTTGGAGGTTTGGAAAACTTTGCCAGGCCCTGAGCGCAACAAGGCTTTGAACTACTGTGGTAGAGGCAAATACTTACAATCTGCAGATCATTTTGCTTTCATAAATTCCCAGCAAGCAAAAACAGCTGCTTCCATAACCATGAAGAATATTTGTTCATACTGCAGCTTGATGGATAGCCCCAGTAGCTGAGGGCAACCATAAATTTGAGTGTCAGATCAGGCAATAATGTAATGTCTGGAGCAGGCACTGACAATTTAATTGAACAGGTTGGAAAACCTTCCCCAGTCGCTGTTTGCCATTGCCCTCCTACCATTTATCTTCTCTCCCAGCCTTTACACTACCATTATTTCCATTTGATGAAATAGTGCTAAGTCCATTTTTTGGGCATTGGCACATGAAGATGTGCATACAATTCTGACATACTGGATGTTGTGCAGCAACCATGAAGGATGCCAAAACAGACTTTAGGAATTGGGTATAACGATGTTCCACTTCGCTATTGTAATATCTAATATATAAATGTGGTTCATGGACACTTCTGTGCTTTCATTGTGGCATTGAACATGTCATGTCCATGTTTCTATTGTACAGAAGCTGGAAGTGGGTACATATAAAGGCATTTGATTCTTATTTACCAACAATTGTGTTTCTGATGGGCTATATCTATTAGCATTGAGTAGTGCAAATAATATATCTTAGATCTGTATACTTCCTGGCAGAACGTATGCATTGACAGACATGTACAGCCATGGTATAGGGTGGCTATGATATGATGATGTCCCTAATTCTGTAAGTAAGAGTTGTGTATGTAGACCATCATCTGGGATATTGCTGGAGAATTCTTTGACTCACAAAAACGTCTGTACAGTATGTTACAGCCTATATCATGGAAACCATTTGACTTATACACTTTTTGGTTAACATTTACAGCTTAGGAGAATTTTTAATAAACATGTATGATACACTGGATGGTGAAATGTTGAGATGGCATGGCCTGGTGGACTAGTGACTATACCTACTGTGGTAGGAATACAGACTGTCACAGTGTAGATGCAATTGTTGACACCTGAATTGTCAGCCCAGGTCAAATGGTCAATTAAGACAGGTGGATTTGCTACGCAAAGAGGAATGCTGGGCTTTATTGTTTATAAGCCAGTGCTACTGAGGCCAGCATCATATTTACCACAAGGCATTTGCCTGGGGCAACAATTTTCAGGGGGGCAGCACTGCCCCTAGGAAAAAATGAAGCAAGTGTCAGGGATAAGAACCTGGTGAGGCACTGCCTAAGCTCCGCCAGTGCAGGAGTGTATGAAGGAGTGTATGTGGAGTGTATGTAGGAGTGTATCCAGCTGCTTCTTTCATTCCAGTTAAGGTTAGTTCTTGAATCGGTTGGTGATGGCGCAGGGGAGTTGTTGGGAATTGGTGGAGGTGGGCAGTGGTGACTGCGGCTGGGGGGTTGTTTGGCACGGATAGGCGGCACTGATAAACAGCACTAATTTGGGGTCACGGATAGGCGGCACTGATATGCAGCACTGATAGGCGGCACTGATAGGTGACACTGATGATGGGTACTGATAGACGGCACTGACTGGCATCACTTCTGGGCACTGACTGGCGGCACTGACTGGCACAACCCCTGGGCACTGACTGGTGGCACTGACTGGCAGCACTGCTGGGCTGCACTGGTGGGTGGCACTGGTGGGCAGCACTGGTGGGTGGGCACAGGTGGGTGGCACTGGTGGGCACAGGTGGGTGGCATGGTGGGCACAGGTGGGTGGCACTGGTGGGCACAGGTGGGTGGGCACAGGTGGGTGGCACTGCTGGGCACATGTAGGTGGCACTTCTGGGCACAGGTAGGTGGCACAGGTGGGGGCACTGCTGGGCACAGGTGGGGGCACTGCTGGGCACAGGTGGGGGCACTGCTGGGAACGGGTGGGCGGGGCTAGTGGGCGCACTGCTGGGCGGAACTTGCGGGTGTCACTGCTGGGCACCGATCATCAGGGCACTGATCATCAGTGCCCTGATGATCGGTGCCGATCCCCGCTCTGACAACTGCCGGTTCTCGGCAGTACTTTCCTCACGATCTGACAGCGTGAGGAAAGTGCAGCCGAGAACCGGCACTTGCATTTCCCTGTGATCAGCGTGTCATTGGACACCGCTGATCACGTGGTAAAAGGCCGGTGGGATCGGCCTTTCACCACATCACGTGATCAGCTGTGTCCGTAGGACACAGCGATCACGGAGATCGCCGGGTGCGCGCCCCCTGGGGCGCGCAGGAGAGCGCGTTCTGGGAGGACGACATATGACGTCCACTCAGAACTGGCCGGCCGC